GGAAGATAAGATTTGCTCAATTTTAAAAATACAATTTAAAACTGGGTAGAAGCTATTTAACTCTGTATAAAAACCTTCCCTGAGTGAAAATTTGAATGTTCAATAAACAATAGATTTTAAAATCTGCTAACCAGAGGCATCTGCTCAGTGGGTTAAGCCTCTGTCTTTGGCTCAGGTCATAGTCCCAGAGTCCTGGGATCGAGCCCCGCATCGGGCTCTCTGCTCAGCGGCGAGCCTGTTTCCCCTTCTCTCTGCCTGCCTTTCTGCCTACTTGTGATCTCTCTCTCTCTCTCTGTCAAATAAATGAATAAAATCTTTAAAAAAAATTAAATCTGCTAACCAGATACTGAAGTTTCAGAAGACTAAATCATATCATAACATTGGTAACTATGATAACTATGTTATAATATGATTTAGTCTTATCAATCTTTATATTTGTAATTATGACATTTCAAAAGGTGAGGTTGAGTGTTCTTGTATATAGCATTGTACTTTGATAAACTATGCCTACATAGTGAAAGGCAGAATTCTCATGTTTTTAGCTTTGGGCCAGACACTTAATTTCTCTGACACTCAGTTTTCAACAAACAGGTATTATAATAGTCATTTTCCTGCTTATTTCACAACAATCTTCAGTACAATCCAGTAAAATAATGTATGTGAAAACCTTTGCAATATGCAAATTATTCTGCAAATGTATGATTATTTTTATTTTCCTTATCTTGAGATGTTAAAATGCTCATAAATATAAGCACATTAATCACAAATGTTCATGTACATACAAAGATGAAAGCTATATGTTTGAGTTTTTAGAAATGAGCCAGCAAATTATAGTATGTGGTATAAATATATTCCTTTTTGCCTCTATTTTTCTCTAATAATTTTAAATGTGTAAAAAAAGGGAATGAAAATTATAGAAATTACAGAGAAAGATTCTGAGTATACAACAGATTACACAAGTTTGAAGACAGGGTCAAGACAAGATTACTGATTCTTAATTACCATCTGAAATTTAATCCCAGAGGAAAATATTAGAAAAACCAAATGACCTTAATTATCTGCATCATTGACCCACTCCAAGAAACTTCGGAAATATGTTGCTACTAAGATCAAGGTGTATCTCAAATCTAATCGTGCTCTGAGTGGATGAGAGCTATGAGCTATATAGGGGTTTGGTAATTTGTCTTCCATGAAGTAACTAATTTTAAAAAAAAATTAAAAAATTTTTCTAAAATTTTCCAGTTATGAGGAGTAAAACCTTTTATCTGGGTAGGATTATCCTTACAGCAGAATATCTTGAACTAAAACAGAACACCTACATCAGAATGTTCTGTTAATTCAAGAACCATTTCTAAACCAATTAACTGATAAATTAGGATACCAGTAGGAAACAAGTCCGTCAGGATATCTTTATTTATCTTTGGCTCAGGAAAGACTTTCCTGGTAATCTAACATGATCAGAAGAACAAATAACAGATCAACACACAACTTCTTTGTTTTCCCCCTTAAATATTAAAGACATGAAGGACATTAAGGAATATTTTTATTAACGCTAGTAAACTAGATGAATTTCCCTTTCACATGCTAGGTCAGTGATTCTCAAACTTTAGTGTATGCACAAACAACCGAAACAGTGGCTAATAAATGCATATTCCAGGCCACAACTAGATCCCAGGTTTTCAGATTTCCAAACAGGCCTCTCTTGAGCATTATATTCTTGTCGTTTCTGGGAGAAATGGGAAACCCAAGCATCTGTATCTGAAGAGCCATAATCTAGACCCGCTGGAGTCCTTGAGTGATTCACAAATGAAACAATGAACCACCCCCTCTACAAGGCCCACTAAGCATCCAAGTGACTCTTTTCTTTTTACCTTCTGGTCCCTTCCTACCCACAAAAACTTTTGCACATCCTCCATCACCCAGGATTCTATAGGGTAAAGTGAAATGGGAATTTGTTCTACTATCCCTTTTATAGATAACTTTCTAAATAAATACTGCTAACTAAGAGGGGTGTCTGGGTGTCTCAGTTGGTTAAGCAACTGCCTTCGGCTCAGTCATGATTCCAGAGTCCTGGGATCGAGTCCCAGCAGGGAGCCTGCTTCTCCCTCTGTCTGCCACTCCTCCTGCTTGTTCTCTGTCTTCCTGACAAATACATAAATAAAATCTTAAAAAAAAAATAAGTACTGCCAACTAAGTGTATAAATGTTTGAGGCAAGTAATTTCAAAGACTACTCTCTGCACAGTTGAAATTTTAGCAAGATACTTGCCAATATTCTATGAGACAGGAGTAACAGAATGGGAAACTAACAGAGAGGAAGCCAAGTAATTTACAGATTCTTTGGAAGCTTTTATTTATATTTGGGGTTTCCCCAAGTTTCAAGTTGAGTGCTTTAAGATTTTATAACTTAAAACAGGAAGAAAGACCTTTTTTTTTCAATTATACTTCCTTTCTTCAATAAGATTGTGCATTGAAATCTTAATCATACATCTAAGATACCACTCCTCATTTTTTCCTCCCTGAGAGAAATTGCCAAATTACAGTTATATCCAGTTAAGTTTGCCGCTTACTTTCTGAGGGATATAGAAAATACACAGAGGTCCAGAGAGGTCATATCTGGTCCCATAGCCATAGGAGTAACTGAATGGTAACTTCTGTTTTTCGTCCCTGGGGCTTCTCTGCTACTGCATTGCAGGAAACCTAGTCAGTCACCCTAAGGCATATGCCGAAGACATTTGTCACTCCTTATGACATACCTATCCTTTAGGAAACAGCAAGCATCCAAGTTAGCTCTCTATATAATGCTAGGTTCATCGCATCACCCCAAGAGATGCTCTTTACACATCATGTGAATGGAGCCTCCTAAAATAGTGCATCTGGCAGCCCCCATCCAAGGTAGGTGCTCTGTTAACTTATGTTTCGTCCTGGAGAAATCAGAGAACAGTCCGTGACAGTGATGGTGTTGATGACGATGAAACTAATGATGATGGTCAAAATGGATGAGTTTGCCCACATTATAAAGAAAGAAGGGCCAGCTAGAAAAAAATGACTAAATATCAGACTTTGAGGGGCCTCTGCTAGTAACCACTACTGTTCTCTTAAAGCCAAGGAATGGAGTAGTGGTAAATTATTAGGAAATGACAGTTTTATTGGATTTTTTCTTAAGAAAAGGGGTGATGGAATTATGCATAGAAAAATATGCAAGTAGGGGCACCTGGGTGGCTCCGTCGGTCAAGCGTCTACCTTCCGCTCAGGTCATGATCTCAGAGTCCCAGGAGTGAGCCATATGTTGGGGCTCCCCACTCAGTGCATAGTCTGCTTCTCCCTCTCTCTCTCCCTCTGCCTCTCCCCCTGTTCATGTTCGCTCGCTCTCTCTCCAAATAAATAAATAAGATCTTTAAAAAAAGGAAAATATACAAGTAAACTATTGTAAACTAATCTAGTACTAAGATTTGATTTTGGAATTTCCTTTATCTCCTATGGGTGGATTTCTAGCTCTACTAGGACAAAGCCATAGGGAGGAAAAGTTGTTTGTTTGTTTGTTGTAGGATTTGAAAATTTAAAGTATTTATGCATAAATCATAGTTTTTTGGGGAGATCTGAACAAATTCAAATTAAAATTCTAAAATTGGTGCAGCAGTTTTATAAAACTCTCCAGATCATAAAGCAATTCAAATCATGATTCAACGAAAAACTAAATTAATCAAAATAAATGCAAACACTTTTTAAACTTTATTATTATAGAGTCTTGGTCTACACCTTGGCAGTAATAATTTCTGCAGTGGGTAAAACACAGCCACCACCAAGATGATTTCAACGTAATAGTCACATCTCTAGAAATCTATACAAGATTTTTTCCAACCTAGTCAAACATAGTCATCAGTTCCCCACCTCCAGCCTTAATCAGTGAAATCTTTCATGGGTAAATTCTAAGTATGAAAAGAACCTTTGATCTTAACTGATTTTACCCTTTGATTTCTTTTTTTAAAATCCTGGTGTTATGATCCTTCCAAATACTTCCTTCAAAATGAAAAATAATCAAATACCTTTGGTTAAAATCCTTTCTCCCTACCACTACTGCATCCTTCTATAATGCAGAGGCAATGAATAATTCATCAAGGATATTTTATTTAAATATTGAGAATCATATAAAATGGTATTACAATGAAAAATATTGGTTTGCTACCTTAATGATAGTGATTATGACTCCTATTCCTGAAATAATGATGCCTATTTTCAACCAAAAGTCATTTACCAGTGCTTTCGGGCAATTTCAAAAATTTGTCTAAACATTAGATCATTGCCAAAGGCCCCAGGACCTGAATAATACATTCCTACATTACTGTGCAGAATCTATCACATATTAAAGGCTAACGTTTTTTAGTATAAAACTGGATCTCACTCCATATATATTATAGAGGAATAACTTCTTCAAGTGCCACTCTAGAGTTCTTGTGGGCAAATGAATGAAGAAATCCACCTCAGAAAAAACCTGCAACTTCCAGAGCAGTAGGAGAAAGCTCAAGCTCATCTTTACAACTTCATATCATTCCAACTTAAGCCAGTGCAGCTGAATGCGGCACTCCAACTTCTGTTTTAAAATCTATACAAGAGATGATAAATGCTGATCTGCCATAACGAGGATGATAAACCAGAAATTAACTTCCAAATTGTGCTCAGATGTTTTGAACACTATAGTCTGTCTTTGTTTTTGTTTTTTTCTTATTGGCTAAAAAACAGATGCATTGTTTCAGCTGTTGCACACTGGAAGAAAAGACCACTTAAATGTTAGAAATTTGGCTTTGAGAATCCATCTAATTTGCTAAGCATAATGACCCTATTTTTAACCGATGGCTGTTGAGACAATATCTTCGATCGGGGAGTGACTCATGAAGTATGTAGGAGTCATGAATAAGAGAGGCTTGCTTTCAACTGGAGGGCAGAGGTACTGAGAGGGTGAGTTAGGAACAAAGCCCAGGGGGAGCAAAGTGCATTGACTTACCTGAAGTACTTTGGCCAAATTGTTAAATAGAGCTTGGCCGGCACTCACTTTGTATTTGACGCCTCTGACTGTGCCATTTTTGCTTAAAATGTTGACTCTTCTTGTTCCAAAACCCTTCTCACTGGCAGCTCTTGCTAACGCCAATAAGCTATCCTGGTCGTCCTCACACTCATCGCTTTCCGATCCCATGTGGCCATTTTGCTGTCCATCAGACTCACTCAGTCCATCTATCCCGCAGATGCTGGCACATTCGGAATCCAGAGAGCCCGAAGGCTGCCCGTCTTCATACACCTCCTTCAGCACCCGCCCGCTGTGAGATGACGCGATCCGAAACCGGACTTTCCGTGGCCTGTCACTTTCTGTCTTTATGTCCCTTTTGAGCATGATCACTTCCACCCCCACACACTGTTTACATAATTCTGGATCCCTTGTGATTGCACGAGTCCACTTGCCACATAGCAATATCAGAGCTTCATTCTCCTGACAGCAGCACCCATACGAAACTAACATCGAAAGGAAAGAAGACTTACAGTGCACCTCTATTAATAATGAATGTCTCTGTGTGTGCTATGGTTACCTTTAAACTAAAACCTGCAAATGATCCCAGCCTTTAAATATTAAATAGCTATGGGGGACTCTTTAACAGGACAAGCGCAAGAAAGCGGCATGCAATGAAACAATAAATAAGTGTGGGGCAAGGAAATGAAAGATTCCAACTTTGAAGCCAGCGATAAGTGTTGAAAAGGATGTTAGCAGACAAGGATCTCTACAATTCACTGTCAAGGGTGAAGGCCAGAGATAAAACATGGAATCTAATGTTTAGGCTGGGACGAGTCATAGCTTTCCCACAGGGCTTATATCATCTGTTCTTTCCCCTGTTAGCAAAGGATCATTAAAATGGGCAGTGGACTACATGCCACCATGGAGCTTTGAATACTAGTTCTTTAATCATCTATTAGACTTCCTCAGTATTGTATAAGATGCATTTTCAAACTACGTCTTCGTGCACAAATGATTTTGCCAAAGAATAACTTTTTAACAAACTATGAAAACAGAGAACATCTGCCTTGTTACTTTTCCACTTTGGCTAGCAGCAAATATACTCTCAGACAGAGGGAAAGGTTTTGGAAGGAAACTTAATGAAACAATCAGGGAAGAATGGAAGATCCTCTAAGCCAGCCAGATCAGGCAAAGCAGTCCATGTGATCTGTCTTAATAAATATTATATCCAAATCACCCATGCATACAGAAGCGGCCTCCTAACACTGTGCTGGTGGATTTGCTGACACTTGGACGAGTGACTGAACAATCTCTTAAGATACAAGACCATATTAAAATGTACACTATGGGGAGTGCCCCAACCTGTCAACCTCCAGAGCAAGGACACACAGCTGGCCTTCATACTGCACTTCAAGCTTTTTTAATGTTTATAGTTTTATCTGATATAAACTTAACTTACACTAATTTTAGAAAATTCAGACAATAATAGCACAGCACTGAAAATAAAAGTCAATCCAAAAAAGAAAAGTCACAAATAACCTCACTAGAGATGTTAATAATTTTGTGGAAATATTGGGGGCGCCTGGGTGGCTCAGTGGGTTAAGCCTCTGTCTTTGGTTCAGGTCATGATCTCAGGGTCCTAGGATCGAGCCCCGCATCGGGCTCTCTGCTCAGCAGGGAGCCTGCTTGCCCCTCTCTCTCTCTGCCTGCCTCTCTGCTTTCTTGTGATCTCTATCAAATAAATAAGTAAAATCTTTTTTTTTTAATTTTATTTTTTATAAACATATATTTTTTTCCCCAGGGGTACAGGTCTGTGAATCGCCAGGTTTACACACTTCACAGCACTCACCATAGCACATACCCTCCCCAATGTCCATAACCCCACCCCCCCTCTCCCAACCCCCCTCCCCCCTGCAACCCTCAGTTTGTTTTGTGAGATTAAGAGTCACTTATGGTTTATCTCCCTCCCAATCCCATCTTGCTTCATTTACTCTTCTCCTACCCCCTTAACCCCCCATGTTGCATCTCCTCTCCCTCATATCAGGGAGATCATATGATAGTTGTCTTTCTCCAATTGACTTATTTCGCTAAGCATGATACCCTCTAGTTCCATCCACGTCGTCACAAATGGCAAGATTTCATTTCTTTTGATGGCTGCATAATATTCTATTGTGTATATATACCACATCTTCTTTATCCATTCATCTGTTGATGGACATCTAGGTTCTTTCCATAGTTTGGCTATTGTAGACATTGCTGCTATAAACATTAGGGTGCATGTGCCCCTTCGGATCACTACGTTTGTATCTTTAGGGTAAATACCCAGCAGTGCAATTGCTGGGTCATAGGGTAGCTCTATTTTCAACATTTTGAGGAACCTCCATGCTGTTTTCCAGAGTGGTTACACCAGCTTGCATTCCCACCAACAGTGTAGGAGGGTTCCCCTTTCTCTGCATCCTCGCCAGCATCTGTCATTTACTGACTTGTTAATTTTAGCCATTCTGACTGGTGTGAGGTGGTATCTCATTGTGGTTTTTGATTTGTATTTCCCTGATGCCGAGTGATATGGAGCACTTTTTCATGTGTCTGTTGGCCATCTGGATGTCTTCTTTGCAGAAATGTCTGTTCATGTCTTCTGCCCATTTCTTGATTGGATTATTGGTTCTTTGGGTGTTGAGTTTGCTAAGTTCTTTATAGATTTTGGACACTAGCCCTTTATCTGATATGTGGTTTGCAAATATCTTCTCCCATTCTGTCAGTTGTCTTTTGGTTTTGTTAACTGTTTCCTTTGCTGTGCAAAAGCTTTTGATCTTGATAAAATCCCAATAGTTCATTTTTTCCCTTGCTTCCCTTGCCTTTGGCGATGTTCCTAGGAAGATGTTGCTGCGGCTGAGGTCAAAGAGGTTGCTGCCTGTGTTCTCCTCAAGGATTTTGATGGATTCCTTTCTCACATTGAGGTCCTTCATCCATTTTGAGTCTATTTTCATGTGTGGTGTAAGGAAATGATCCAATTTCATTTTTCTGCATGTGGCTATCCAATTTTCCCAACACCATTTATTGAAGAGGCTGTCTTTTTTCCATTGGACATTCTTTCCTGCTTTGTTGAAGATTAGTTGACCATAGAGTTGAGGGTCTATTTCTGGGCTCTCTATTCTGTTCCATTGATCTATGTGTCTGTTTTTGTGCCAGTACCATGCTGTCTTGATGATGACAGCTTTGTAATAGAGCTTGAAGTCCGGAATTGTGATGCCACCAACTTTGGCTTTCTTTTTCAATATTCCTTTGGCTATTCGTGGTCTTTTCTGGTTCCATATAAATTTTAGGATTATTTGTTCCATTTCTTTGAAAAAAATGGATGGTACTTTGATAGGAATTGCATTAAATGTGTAGATTGCTTTAGGTAGCATAGACATTTTCACAATATTTATTCTTCCAATCCAGGAGCATGGAACATTTTTCCATTTCATTGTGTCTTCCTCAATTTCTTTCATGAGTACTTTATAGTTTTCTGTGTATAGATTCTTCGTCTCTTTGGTTAGGTTTATTCCTAGGTATCTTATAGTTTTGGGTGCAATTGTAATTGGGATTGACTCCTTAATTTCTCTTTCTTCTGTCTTGTTGTTGGTGTAGAGAAATGCAACTGATTTCTGTGCATTGATTTTATATCCTGACACTTTACTTAATTCCTGTACAAGTTCTAGCAGTTTTGGAATGGACTCTTTTGGGTTTTCTACATATAGTATCATATCATCTGCGAAGAGTGATAGTTTGACGACTTCTTTGCCGATTTGGATGCCTTTAATTTCTTTTTGTTGTCTGATTGCTGAGGCTAGGACTTCTAGTACTATGTTGAATAGCAGTGGTGATAATGGACATCCCTGCCGTGTTCCTGACCTTAGCGGAAAAGCTTTCAGTTTTTCTCCATTGAGAATGATATTTGCAGTGGGTTTTTCATAGATGGCTTTGATAATATTGAGGTATGTGCCCTCTACCCCTACACTTTGAAGAGTTTTGATCAGGAAGGGATGCTGTACTTTGTCAAATGCTTTTTCAGCATCTATGGAGAGTATCATATGGTTCTTGTTCTTTCTTTTATTAATGTGTTGTATCACATTGATTGATTTGCGGATGTTGAACCAACCTTGCAGCCCTGGAATAAATCCCACTTGGTCGTGGTGAATAATCCTTTTCATGTACTGTTGAATCCTATTGGCTTGTATTTTGGTGAGAATTTTTGCATCTGTGTTCATCAAGGATATTGGTCTGTAGTTCTCTTTTTTGATGGGATCCTTGTCTGGTTTTGGGATCAAGGTGATGCTGGCCTCATAAAATGAGTTTGGAAGTTTTCCTTCCATTTCTATTTTTTGGAACAGTTTCAGGAGAATAGGAATTAGTTCTTCTTTAAATGTTTGGTAGAATTCCCCCAGGAAGCCGTCTGCCCTGGGCTTTTGTTTGTTTTGAGATTTTTGATGACTGTTTCAATCTCCTTATTGGTTATGGGTCTGTTCAGGCTTTCTATTTCTTCCTGGTTCAGTTGTGGTAGTTTATATGTCTCTAGGAATGCATCCATTTCTTCCAGATTGTCAAATTTGTTGGCATAGGGTTGCTCATAATATATTCTTATAATTGTATTTCTTTGGTGTTCGTTGTGATCTCTCCTCTTTCATTCATGATTTTATTTATTTGGGTCCTTTCTCTTTTCTTTTTGATAAGTCTGGGCAGGGGTTTATCAATCTTATTAATTCTTTCAAAGAACCAGCTCCTAGTTTCGTTGATTTGTTCTATTGTTTTTTTGGTTTCTATTTCATTGATTTCTGCTCTGATCTTTATGATTTCTCTTCTCCTGCTGGGTTTAGGGTTTCTTTCTTGTTCTTTCTCCAGCTCCTTTAGGTGTAGGGTTATGTTGTGTACCTGAGACCTTTCATGTTTCTTGAGAAAGGCTTGTACCGCTATATATTTTCCTCTCAGGACTGCCTTTGTTGTGTCCCACAGATTTTGAACCGTTGTGTTTTCATTATCATTTGTTTCCATGAATTTTTTCAATTCTTCTTTAATTTCCTGGTTGACCCATTCATTCTTTAGAAGGATGCTGTTTAGTCTCCATGTATTTGGGTTCTTTCCAAATTTCCTCTGGTGATTGAGTTCTAGCTTCAGAGCATTGTGGTCTGAAAATATGCAGGGAATGATCCCAATCTTTTGATACCGGTTGAGACCTGATTTAGGACCCAGGATGTGATCTATTCTGGAGAATGTTCCACGTGTACTGGAGAAGAATGTGTATTCTGTTGCTTTGGGATGAAATGTTCTGAATAGATCTGTGATATCCATCTGGTCCAGTGTGTCATTTAAGGCCTTTATTTCCTTGTTGATCTTTTGCTTGGATGATCTATCCATTTCAGTGAGGGGAGTGTTAAAGTCCCCTACTATTATTGTATTATTGTTGATGTGTTTCTTTGATTTTGTTATTAATTGGTTTATGTAGTTGGCTGCTCCCACGTTTAGGGGCATAGATATTTAAAATTGTTAGATCTTCTTGTTGGACAGATCCTTTGAGTATGATATAGTGTCCTTCCTCATCTCTTATTATAGTCTTTGGCTTAAAATCTAATTGATCTGATATAAGGATTGCCACTCCTGCTTTCTTCTGATGTCCATTAGCATGGTAAATTCTTTTCAACCCCCTCACTTTAAATCTGAAAGTGTCTTCGGGTTTAAAATGAGTTTCTTGTAGGCAACATATAGATGGGTTTTGTTTTTTTTATCCATTCTGATACCCTGTGTCTTTTGATTGGGGCATTTAGCCCATTAACATTCAGGGTAACTATTGAGAGATATGAATTTAGAGCCATTGTATTGCCTGTAAGGTGACTGTTACTGTATATTGCCTCTGTTCCTTTCTGATCTACTACTTTTAGGGTCTCTCTTTGCTTAGAGGACCCCTTTCAATATTTCCTGTAGAGCTGGTTTGGTGTGTGCAAATTCTTTCAGTTTTTGTTTGTCCTGAGCTTTTAATCTCTCCTTCTATTTTCAATGACAGCCTAGCTGGATATAGTATTCTTGGCTGCATGTTTTTCTCATTTAGTACTCTGAATATATCATGCCAGCTCTTTCTGGCCTGCCAGGTCTCTGTGGATAAGTCTGCTGCCAATCTAATATTTTTACCATTGTATGTTACAGACTTCTTTTCCCGGGCTGCTTTCAGGTTTTTCTCTTTGTCACTAAGACTTGTAAATTTTACTATTAGGTGACGGGGTGTGGACCTATTCTTACTGATTTTGAGGGGGGTTCTCTGAACCTCCTGGATTTTGATGCTTGTTCCCTTTGCCATATTGGGGAAATTCTGTCCAACAATTCTCTCCAATATACCTTCTGCTCCCCTCTCTCTTTCTTCTTCTTCTGGAATCCCAATTATTCTAATGTTGTTTCGTCTTATGGTGTCACTTATCTCTCGAATTCTGCCCTCGTGGTCCAGTAGCTGTTTGTCCCTCTTTTGCTCAGCTTCTTTCTTCTCTGTCATTTTGTCTTCTATTTCGCTAATTCTTTCTTCTGCCTCATTTATCCTAGCAGTGAGAGCCTCCATTTTTGATTGCACCTCATTAATAGCTTTTTTTATTTCTACTTGATTAGATTTTAGTTCTTTTATTTCTTCAGAAAGGGCTTTTCTATCTCCCGAGAGGGTTTCTCTAATATCTTCCATGCCTTTTTTGAGCCCAGCTAGAACCTTGAGAATCGTCATTCTGAACTCTAGATCTGACTATTATCAATGTCTGTATTGATTAGGTCCCTAGCCTTTGCTACTGCCTCTTGTTCTTTTTTTTGTGGTGAATTTTTCTGCCTTGTCATTTTGTCCAGATAAGAGTATATGAAGGAGCAAGTAAAATACTAAAAGGGTGGCAACAACCCCAGGAAAATATGCTTTAGCCAAATCAGAAGAGATCCCAAATCATGAGGGGCGGGGAAGGGGATAAAAAGAGGTTCAGAAAGAAAAAAAAAAAAGAAAGAAAGAAAAAGAAAAAAAAAATTAAATTAACTGCAAGGCTAAAGAATCATGTGGAGAAAGCCATGAGTTCTGTGCTTTGCTTTCTCCTCCTCTGGAATTCCGCTGCTCTCCTTGGTATTGAAACTGCACTCCTCGTAAGTGAACTTGGTCCTGGCTGGGTTTCTTGTTGATCTTCTGGGGGAGGGGCCTGTTGTAGTGATTCTCAAGTGTCTTTGCCCCAGGCGGAGTTGCACCGCCCTTACCAGGGGCCGGGCTGAGTAATCCGCTCGGGTTTGCTTTCGGGAGCTTTTGTTCCCTGAGCGCTTTCCGTAGAGTCCGGAGGACGGGAATGAAGATGGCGGCCTCCCAGTCTCCAGCCTGGAGGAGCCGAGAGCCCGGGGCCCCACTCCTCAGTGCGCCCTCAGAGAACAGCGCCCAATTACTCCCGTCACCCTGGCCTCCGGCCGCGCTCCGAGCTCACCGAGCCTGCGACCGGTTCAAGGTAACCCCGAGCTGAGAGCTCACTCCTCGGCTCTGTTTCTGTATCCGGCTTCCCCGTTCTAATACCTGCGAGCTCTGCGACACTCAGACACCCCGATCCTTCTGTGACCCTGCGGGACCTGAGGCCATGCTGACCCCGCGTGGGCTTCACCCCGGTTAAGCCTCTGGAGTGATGTCCCTCAGCGGAACAGACTTATAAAAGTCCCGATTTTGTGCTCCGTTGCTCCGCCGCTTGCCGGGAGCCGGCCCCTCCCCCCGCGGTCTATCTTCCCGTCGCTTTGGATTCACTTCTCCGCCAGTCCTACCTTTCAGAAAGTGGTTGATTTTCTGTTTCTAGAATTGCTGTTCTTCTTCTCTTCGATCTCCCGTTGGATTTGTAGGTGTTTGCAATCTTTAGATAAGCTATCTAGCTGATCTCCCGCTTCCTGAAGTAGTCTCAGCCTGCTACTCCTCCGCCATCTTGACTCCTCCCCTAAATAAGTAAAATCTTTAAAAAAAAAATAATTTTGTGAAATATCTTCCAGTGGGTATGAAGATGAGATGCTCTGATGACAAGACTATATTGCCAGCCTCTTGCAATTTAAAGGGAGAAGGAACAAGTACCTAGCTTTTGCTGATGGGAAGTGAGCAAAAGTAATGCATCATTTGTGGACCGAGGCAGTTAAGAGAAAGAGTCCCCTGCCCATGCTCTCTCTCTTCCTCCCCCATCTGCTAGCTGCAATGACCCCAGCAGTCCTGAAGCCATCTACTGAGCTTGTCAGAGTCACAAATTCATACCCGCTGCCATCCAGCACTGAACTATGTTATAAGCGAAAAATAAGCCTTTACTGTGTTAAGCACTTGGAGGTTGAAATTTAAGGGTTGTTTGTCAGTGCTCCCATATATAAAATTATACCATATTTAACAACTTGCTTTTTTCATTCACCATTATATAGCGAGTCATTTCCTATATCTTTATTTTGAAAAACATGAATTTAATGTGTGTATTAAAAGCCCTTCCAATAGTTGTACAATATTTTCTTTCTCTTTCTGGATGGCTAGATGTTTAAATTATTTAAAATAGTCAGTAAAATAATGCTGCACTGAATGTTCTTGTTCAAAAATCAGTGTAGATATACCTAAGTAGTTCTTTAGTGTCAATTCCTTTGGGTAAAATTGATGAGGTAGGAATATTTTTTTAATGTCAAGCTTTTGACATAAATTGCCAATTACAGATAAGAAAAGTTGTATAATTTACACTTCACCTAGCATATGAGTTCTTACTTTACTGCACTCTCACCAGTGCCAATAGTGCATATTACCAATTTTCAATAATGTTTATTTTGTCAAGTTGAAAAGCAGTATTTCAGTAACGTTATAATTTCCCAACTCTGAGCCCTGTTGATGACTTTCATTCTGAATATTTTCTTCATATAGAACTCTCACTGAAGAAAAAGATGGGAGAAAAATAGAAATGTCTGCTTCATGGCTAATTGAATTTGAATCAAATATTAGAGAATTCTATATAATCCCGAAAAAGAAGCAGGGAGAGAGGAAGGGGGAAGGAAGGGAGAGAGAAAGAGCTAGCATTATATCAACTATTTCTAAGTGACAATATTAAGAGGATTTAACTTGGCAAAGTAAAAGAGTGTATAATCAAAGTACATAACAAGAGAGCATAAGTGAGGCAATACTTAATGGGGAAGAAGAGAAAAAATAATTCATTTTTACAGCCAAATGTCAAGATCTTTAAAATACATCAAAGTGAGTGGTGAAGGCATGAATATTAACCTAATCAAGAAAAAAATCAAAATTCTTTGATCGTCCCAATTATTTTTTGCCCTGGACTCCTTATGTATTCTGCTCCTGTTCCCTTTTTCTAGATGTTTGGTTTGGACAGAGTGCTACAGCATGAGAAGAATTTTGAAGTCAAAAAGCCTAGGTTCAAATTCCAGCATACCTCAGTGAGAATGTTCTTTCCATCACCCAAATTTTCTATTTTCCCCTTAGTAGAATGGAGATAACAATATCTGCCTTAGTGAGTCATGCTTACAGAGTATCTGCAACATATTACTGAATGTGTTTGTGACGATGTCTATATATACCATGTGTCCTCTGGATGGAAACAATGAATTTTAGCCTGAATAAGGCAAGACAAGGACTACACAAGATTGCAATCAATAAATACACTTGAAGGATAGGAAAATTTCAATAGGATGATTAAAAAGTTTGTGATATTTTAAATATATATGTTAAAATATGTAGCATGCATATATATACCTATATACATGTATATGTATGCATATCTATTATTTATATACTTATATACTATCTTAAAATGAGACTAGTTGAGAGTCATCTCTCTTTCAAGGGTGAACTGAAAGTCCGGTAAACTGGAAACCAGCCTGCCACAAGTATAAGGAGGTATCTGCTATGGTGAGAATACATTTTGATAATTGCAATTCACATACTTATCTTAGACTGATAAAAAAAAATAAGCTCTTTTCAGCAGGTAACTTTGCAATTATTCTTCCATTCGGGCAATGATTCCACAAGTTGCTACTACATGCCACCCAAGGATAAGACACAGCTAGCCACTATGGCAAATATAAAGATATGTAAAATTATGCCCATGCCTTCCATTGGTAACGTTGCTGAAACAAAATAGCTAGAGTTCGATGCAGTGTATCCTAAGCTAATATATAATCCCATTTCCGTGAAATAACCAAATCAACAATCCTCTCCAGTAGAAGACATCAACAACATTCTCAACACTTTCTGCTCTCATTCTGCTTACTATTTGCTCCCAGCTGCTTGATGTTAATACAGCAACTTCTAACTACTCCATTTGCCACCTTTTCCTCGTATCAGTTTATTATTCCCTACATTTTACTCACTCTGCCAGGTTAGCCGCCTGCCTTCAGAAAGAAGTTCCTTCTTCTCTTCCTTCAGATGTACTCTTTCAATCATCTATTCATTTAACAATATTTATCAAGCACCTAAAAAATACTAGAGAGTTGCTAGATCTATACAGGTAAACACAGCAGGCATGTTCCTTGCCTTTGGAAGTAAATGGGGGAGGTGGGGATGGGTGAGCGTGGTGGTGGTTATTAAGGAGGGCACGTATTGCATGGAGCACTGGGTGTGGTGCATAAACAATGAATCTTGGAACACTGAAAAAAAAATTATATATATATATATATTTTAAAAAGTAGATAACATGGGGCGCCTGGGTGGCTCAATGGGTTAAAGTCTCTGCCTTCTGCTCAGGTCATGATCCCAGGGTCCCAGGATCGAGCCCCGCATTGGGCTCTCTGCTTGGCAGGGAGCCTGCTTCCCCCCATCTCTCTCTGCTTCCCTCTCTGCCTACTTGTGATCTCTGTCTGTCAAATAAATAAATAGATAAAATCTTTAAAAAAAAAGTAGATAATATACAATAAACAAATAAAGGTATAATATCATTATAACAAGCATTACAGAGAAAAAGAGGTGGCTATAACAAGAAATGATAAAAGAAGGGAGCCTACTTTACACAAAATAGTCTCAGCCAGCCTCTCTGAAAAAGAGACATTAAATGAGGGTCTACCAAAACTGGAAGAGATTGATCTTGTAAAGGTTTGAGGTGGGCAGGAGCAGTTGGAGGCAGTTCCTCAGCCGTGGTAACATAAGGCCCTGGGGCCGAATATTAGCAGGTTTGTTCAAAGAACTAAATAAAGGCAGAGCGGCTGAAGACAACTGTGACTCCTACTCTGCAAAGCCCTTCTGAAAAGGGCCAACTAACTAACTAACTAACTAACCTAACTAACAAGACCTTTCCTTCTTAACCCAATTCCTTAATTTATGCAGCTCCCTCAGAACATGAAACAAAAACTTGTAAACCATATTACCAATGTAGAAGTATTTCAAACACTCATAAATTTAACACCAATGGTCATCTGTTTGTTTAAAATAGTAAATTATAAACTCTAGAAGCTAAATAGAGGGCAGAACGTTGCATGAGCCAAACTAGAACTACTTTGGAAAATATTATTAATGATCAATTCAAAGAAAAAAAAATTTCCTTGCTCAATTCCCAGTAGAAATGATAACCCAGCAGCTAGACCTAGACCTGGGTATTTCTTGTTGGTGTCAATTTTTTAATCAGAATATCTAATTATTTCCTTATTTGTAGAAAAAACAGGACATCAAATTTTAATTATTATTTTACTCATCCTATCTCCAAATATTGCCCCACATACTATCCTGTGTCTGATTAGCAGTGCATGGTGAGAAGTAATTTTAACCATATCCCTGGCTTTCAGAACATAATTTTTAAAAATCCCTTGAATCATAGTAAATATATACAACATGTCTCCATTTGCTGCTACTTTATAACTATCACATTCACTATTTTGTTTTTTGGTATTGAAAACAGTAAAACTTGGTCATTGAAGTAAAGCAAAACTCTGCCTGTCATTAACAAAGTAATCGTCTTTTCTCCAGCAACACTTGTCAACCGAGAAGTAATAAGCCATGACTCATTCCCCAAGTGCTGTTCTCAGAACTCCTGTGTGGATGGAGAGAACCTATCAATTTTTATATTCTAACTATGCTGGTGACTGGAAGGGAAAAGAGATTCACTAACCATGAGTGAAATAGGGAAAATAAACTGTCCCTGAAACTTTTCAGCATATGGAATATTGAACCCTTCTTAACGCTTCTTAACATGACTTTAAAAATCAAAATTCACAGTTCAATTATTAATTTGAAGTGGAGAGAACTTCTAGCCAGAAAAGAAACTAAGTGCATTAAAGAAAGTATTCTTTAAAAGCAGGACTATTTTCTTATTATACAACAAGAGAGATGGAGGATTTCTGAATTTATATATTAGTTATGAACAGGAGCTAGGGGTCCATAAAATGGACCCATAGGGGTTTGAATCTTGGATCAGCCAACCTCTGAACGACCTTGAATCTCAGTTTCCTGATCTGTCAAATAGTTCCTACTGCATAGAATGTTTGGAAAAATTAAGTAGAATGATATATATGAAGTGTTTAGCATAGTGCTCAACAAATGATAGCCATAAATTCTTATCTGTTACTTAAACAAGCTAATAGCCAGTACATACTGTTTGGAGGACAGTGAGAAGAATGGAGCCAGGAGAGTGTAATTAACTGACAGGGGGTCAAGGCAATCCCATTCTGTTTCTGGCCTGATTCTAGAGCTTCAAGTCTCAATCAGTCTGTCCTCACCAAGGTCCTGGAGAAGGGCTCCGGTTACCAAAGCCTTGTTCACTCTTTACATCTCTGGACTGAGAGTTTACCATATGTTAAGTGCTATAGTGGGGGCAGGAGGTTTCTGTGCTGGCTTACATCCTGTCACTATGGACCCTGAGTAGGCATAGTTGTCTCAGCATCTTGGGCCACTCAGCTCTGGATTCCACATGCACCCCAGGATTTCCATTGGACAATTATATAAAGTCTCTAAAATTAACATAACCACAGAAGAAAGAAGATCAATAAAGAGTCCCCAGAGAAACTACTTCCCACTTTTATAGTTTAATTTTCATCTTTGATTCACCTCTATATCTTATAGAGTGTTTTGCAAATAAACAGGGCTCAGAGAAATATCTGCTGAATTGAAATGAGCTAAGTTAGATTTTAATGTCAGAACAAAGTGACCTCACATGTTAGGAGAGAGGTAAATAACAACTGACATGATTACTTCCGTCTCTTTCTGTCCTGCTTCCAGTTCATATGTGAGGTGGGAAATAATGGCTATTCACTTTTCAGGCAAAATATCTGAGTCATATAATGCTGTTGGTGTCATTAAAGGCACCTTCTATACTACGTTACAAATTACTGGATGCTAGAGAGTAAATAGTGTATTCTGCCTATAGAACGCAAGTCCCACTTAGCACCAAGGAACTTTATATAAGGTCAACCTTCATTCTCAAGCATGAAACTCCTTATTCCTCTTGAATAAGGAGTTTCTTGTGTATTCTGTGACTAAGATTCTTCAAACATGGAGGGGAAATAATCTCTTACATTCTTCTTCAATCAGACTGTCACTATGGAAAATGTCTATAAATATGTCTTACAGTATTAAGATTTTTAAACTAACTACATTGCATTATTACTCCAAGATACTGGTGTATGGATTCAATATTCTTAATTCCTAATAAAGACATAATCAATGGATTAAATTGTGCATACGTTTATCCTACACACAGAAAGTTTACTTCTCTTCTGCTTGGAACCATCCAAGGGAAATCCAATCACTTTGGGATGGAGAGAAGTTTGGACAGAATGAATAAACACGGCACTCGAGAATAAAGAGTAATCAGAAAGGATGAATACCCAACTTTTGCATCAACATGGATGGGACAGGAGGAGAGGATGCTGAGTGAAATAAGCAGAGAAAGTGAATTGTCATATGGTTTCACCTACTTGTGGAACACAAGGAAGAACATGGAGGACATTAGGAGAAGGAAAGGAAAAGTAAGAGGGGTGCGGGGGAATCAGAAGGGGAAAGGAGAGGAACCATGAGAAACTGCCGACTCTGAGAAATAAACTGAGGGTTTTAGAGGGGAGGGGATTGGGGGGTTAGCCTGGTAACGGGTATTAAAGAGGGCATGTATTGCACGGAGCACTGGGTATTATACGTAATCAATGAATCTTGGAACATTGCCCCAAAACCTAATGATGTACTGTATGGTGACTAACATAACACAATTAAGAAAAAAAAAAAGAATATAGAGTAATGAACAAAGCATTAAAAATACTACATCAGATCCAGAGTTACTTGAGGGATCCTACTAAGTATCATTAAGACCAGATTTCATCCCCGAGATTTTTCCAGAATCAGGATAGAAAAAGAGAACAGGGAAATTGAGTCACAGTCTTAGAAACATCAACCTAGAAAACTAAAAGCGGCTTTCCAAATCAGCAGTGGATTTCAACAGAATGTCAGTGCTGAATGTGGTAGTATAGGAATGTAAATCCCCAGAGTGGCAATTTATTTTTCTATGAGAATATGCCTGCAGAATGTGTAAAAGATTCTTACAAATTTTCCAGTGTATTGAGGAAAAATAGCAATGTTCTCAGAATCTACCCTGCTGATAAATTTTTTTCAGTTGTTATTTTTTAAATCGATGAAAGAGATAAAATGTCAAAAGAAACCTACAAAGCTGACGGGAAAATATATGTGAAAGAAATCCTTATCCTAAGACACACTTCCTTACTCTTGTCACTGAGTTTTTTAAGTCACTGAAAATTTGACATGTTATATCTTTTACCAATAAATGCCATAAATTTATCACAAATTATATTTCATAATCATGTTGCTTTTTTTCTTCCAAAAGCATGAGGCCAAAATGGAGCCCTGGGACAACCTAATTCTATTATCTTACCACCGTTCCCAGGGTAACAGGGGACTGTTGTTTCTACTGTCTGAGATGAAGGTTAAAACTGGCAAGAAGAAGAAAAACAGGGAGCCCAGACAGAAGAAAAAAACAAAAAAAAACAAAAAAAAAACAGACTGGGTTCACTCAGAGATCTAGAGATGTTTTGTTTTCTTTGTGGGATTGTAGTTTCAAGTCCACAGATAAACTAGAAAGTTTCTTAAGAGCACGAAAGTGGTCCCCAAATGACCAGGAAAACTTCCCTGAAGAGAAAGCATGATTCGATGTTGATGATGACTCTGGGCTGGGAAGGCACCACACCCCAGAGAGCAGAGAGTTCAGTCAAATCTCTCAAAGTATCAATTACACATTGAAAAGGGGACCTTTTGCTGGTATGTCTTTTTGCATCGCCTTTTGCAAATGAGTTAATGCCATTTCCAAAGCTTTTGCATATGTAAACTTGGAACTCTAAAATAATCTGACTGAGTTGGCTTTGATCTGCTCTGTTTGCAAATAGAAGCTTTTTCAAGTATGAATATATAAGTCATATTAGAGACTAAATAAAAATTCATTAATCATTTATATTGACTGCCTATTATTAACTCCTGAAGCTGGGAG